TCTTATATGATAAATGTTTTTCTCTATTTATGTTTCATATACTTGGTGAATCTCAGCTATCAGGTTCTGAGCCTAGTCTGATGTCATTCTTCTCTCAACCATAGATGCATTTTCTTACATTTCCATAGTTCAAACAACAATTGTTACAAAAAAGAGAGACATAAAAAAGAATATGAGTACAAGTGCTCCAATTTTCCATCTCATCACTTCTTGCTTTGCTTCTTTCAATTGGCTCCTCAATTGCCTCTTATTACTATCTCCAACAATTGTTTCATCTTCATGAGCTGAATGATTGTTAAGATCATGACCTTCTTGAGCCCATGCGAAGAAATTGTATTATCTACTTGGGTAATAGGCGCAACCCCAAAAATATTTCCCTTTGTTCCTTCCTCTAACACAAAGCTTCAGTGAAGTATTGACTTTGCAAAAGCATTTAACTTCATAATCTTCCATAGCTTCAGGTTTGATCATTGGTTGATTCTTGTAATTTTTTTGGAAAATTTTCATCTCGTGTAAATAGAGCATATATATAAAACTTGTATGAGCTATGAATTTATAAGCTCAAGTAAGTCCAATTTTGACTGTTGCCTAAAAATTTAGTCTCAATTTGACCTTTGCCCAATCTTGAACACTGCCCCAATAAGCCTTTGTTTCATTGCTCATGGTTTTGGTTTCCACCCGTAACGGTAACAAAAAAAAATTATCTTTAGTGAGAGGTAATCTCACCATGATGAATATATTCATTTGTTCAAACATATTTCACCACCAACCAAACACAAGAAACTCAAGAAATCTAGTTCGTAACCAATTGTTTCCCCTTATTTTTATAACCATCCAAACAAAAGAATAGTGTGGAAATTGATTTCCCCCAATGTTTTTAATGCAAAACAAACAAAAAAAGCCCATTTCCAGGCAGCATATGGAAATCTCTGGAGGTTGGTATTTAAGATAGAAATATATTTCTCGTCAGTTGAGAAAAATAACCAAACAAGCCCTTCATGGAAAAGTGATTTTTGTGTTTGTTTCACTAAAAAAACATAGGGTATAAGTAATACTCACCACTGTCCTTAGTTTGGTTTAACTTGAGAAAAGAAGAAAGCAATTGATGTGTGAACAGATTCTCTCATTTTCTAGTGCTTGGTTCAAAAAAAAATCTTGGCAACATCACATGTAACCAATATCATACCAACTATTTCAGTCAACTGATTAAAAATAATGTCAACTCTCCTAACAAATATCATAAAAACCATGAAAAAAGAATGAAAGCAGCCATCTAATTTCCAATCTTTGTCAACTCAGGTGTCAACCCATCAAACGAATTAGATATAATAAAGTAACACGCCATAGAGTACAATTCACAAGTAAGAAAATTATTCAATTTGATGCTTCTTTTAGGTGCACAAAAATGACAAATGTTTTCAACTAGCTAGTTCTAGGTCCCAATTATCAGCAATCAGCCCAAATATCCATTCAAGGAAAAGGTGAGAAATTTTGCACAATAAAGGTCGTAGGACTTCAAACTATACACATGCAGTGACCCATAAAAATGATCGCCAAATAATCATTTTCACAAAGAAATAGAAAAGAGACACAAGAGCTAAGAAATTACCTTCGATTAAGTTTCAATAGGGAGTTAACAAAGGAAGCGGCGAATTCAAAGTTAGATCACAGAAGGAGCTGCTCAATCTAGGATTTCGTTGGATCTCAGAAGCAAAGACACGATTTTAATGCTAGATCAAACACCCAAACAGTCCAACGAACAATTGCAACAAAGACACAAGTTTAGAAAGCCAACAAACAATCACAGGAAATTTAAAAAATATATATTTCCCCCAATTTCTTCTAAGATTTTCTCATTGTGAGAAAAACAATGGAGGCGCAAGAAAATGGAGGGAAATGGGGAAATGAGAGAGAGAGAGAGAGAGAGGCTGGAGAGAAATGGGGAAATGAGAGAGAGAGGCTGCAGTGATGGAACGCAAGCTCTTTTCTCTCTCTTTTGTTCAACCGAGAAACCCAAAACCTTTATGTTGAATTTTTTATTCCATAGATGTCGGGTTTCTGTCAAAATCGATGATTTTGTAAAGGAAATCAACTTTCCTTTTATGATGACATGTAATGCAGTTCCTTCCCCGTCTTTTCTTTTTTATTTTTGCAATCCAAACATCAAAAAATGAATTAAAGTGGCAACTTTTTGGGGTTTTCCTTGGATGTTAGTTTTTCTTTTGGATTTTTTGACCAACCAAATAGCCCCTTAGCAAAAACTAAACAATATAGGCTTTTTATCTTAGACCCAAACTTATACCCTGCTTTATTCTTAAGCCCAACAACTTCCAAACTTATTTCCTAGGCCCCAGATAATCGACCAACTTTAATAAAACAATATAATAATATAATATAGTATAATATAAGGATTATTTGCTTCTCTAGAAAAAGAATTGTTTGCCTAGCTATTAACCCAAAGTATTGCTCTCATTTATTTCTAAACTCATTCACTTAAAAAAATGCTCCTTATGCTACATACTAAAACAAAAGAAAGTTCCATTGTTCATATGCACAATTCATAACAGTTGTGAAGAAAATTTCGACCTACAAATCCAAAGTTTTGGCCCCTCTTTTGCTTTTAAATCCACTCATTTTTGTTTCTTTCCTATAAGTCCAAATTTTACATTTCATTTATTTTAAATTACCAACTTTCCAAAGTCACTCTCAGATGGAATTTTTTACTTATAGAGTTTTGCCCCATTTATTTTTCACCCAGGGATTTTTACTTATAAATTATAAAGAACAAATTTTATCCTAGATTATTTTTTAAACCCACCTACTTCCAAAATCAATTTTAGATGCACTTTTGCCCATAAAATCAAAGTTTTCCACATTTATTTTTAAATTGATCACTTCTAACAAGGGGTTTTGTGCTATAAACCAAAACTTTTACTTCATTCTTTTAAACCCGCCCGCATTTAAAATAACTGTTAGACTCAAAAAATTTGTGAATTATTTTATAAGCCAATTGGTAAAGTTCTTTGGAGTTGTAGCGTGGATAATAATTGCAAAGCATTCTATGGGACCCAAAGCAAGTAAGCAAAAGTTTTTTGTCTATAAATCCAAAGTTTTACCCTAAGTTGTACCGTATATACTACAGTATCATCTACAGTGCAACCTCAATAAGTTGGTAAAAAATTAAATAAATACAGGTCTTTTATCTTAAACCCAAACTTTTACCCCGCTTTATTCTTAAACCCAACAACTTCCAAAATTATTTCCTAGGCTATAGATGTTCCACCAACACTCATAAAATAATATAATAATATAATATAATATAATATAAGGATTATTTGCTTCTCTAGAAAAAGAAGTATTTCCCTAGCTATAAACCAAAAGTTTTGCTCTCATTTATTTCTAATCCATAATCATTGTTTATGCTACATACTAAAACTAAAGAAAGTTTCATTGTTCATATGCACAGTTCATAACAGTTATAAAGAAAATTTCTACCTAAAAACCCAAAGTTTTGCCCCCTTTTACTTTTAACCACCCATTTTTTCTTTCCTATAAATCTAAATTTTATATCCCATTTATTTCAAATCCCCCAACTTTCCAAAGTCACTATGAAACAGAATTTTAGCCTATAAAGTTTTGGCCCATTTAGTTTTGACCAGGGTTTTTTACTTATAAATAAAAAGTTATCTATTTTTTAAACCCACCCAGTTCCTAAATCACTTTTAGAGGCAAGTTTTGCTCATAAGATGAAAGTTTTCCACATTTATTTTTAAACTGATTACTTCTAACAAGGGTTTTTTTTCTTATAAACCCAAAATTCACTTTGTTTTTTTAAACCCACCGACTTTCAAAATCACTCTGACTCAAACAGTTTCTATGAATTATTTTATATAAGCCCATTTGTAAAGTTCTTTGGAGTTAGACCCAAAGTATTACCTTGACTATATTTTTAAACCCAAACACTTCCAAAATCACAGTCAGACCCAAAAAAACTCCATAGAAATTTTTTCCAACCCACATTATATATTTTTTGGGAGTTGCATAGCGGATAACAACACTTTGCCCCATAACCCTAAGTTTTACCCCCATTTAGTTGTAAGCCGATTCACTTCCCAAGTCACTTTTGAACCCATAATAGTTGAGTGAATTATTTTTAAACCCACTTTGTACTTTGGTATGTGGTGAAAGTGGCTATATCTTTTTGTAACTTGCTACATTTTTTATAAATAGTTAGGTGTATGATGTAACTTAATGTTTTAACCATTATATCTTTGCCTTATTTCATGTTAATGCCATCGGGTCGCCAATTGTAGATGTTCTTTTGCCTATAACCAAAGTTTTTTTACCCCTCCACCCAAACACATTTTATTTTAATACTCGTGCACTTTCCCAGAAAAGGTTTTTGTGTATAAACTAGAAGTTCACTTCAGATCCAACACACTCAAAATAAAACCGCTTTGTATGTTAGCAGTTGGTATCGATGTAATGTTGCTATATTTTGCTTTAACTTGCACTTTTTTGTTGAAGTTACTAGGTGACGTATGATGTATTTCTAAACAAATGCTTAAACTATTATATTTTGGCTTTTTTCACACGAATGCCGTGGCATTTTTTGCTCGTTCATATAACTAGATATGTACAGTGATTATATCCTAACATATGAATTAAACCATAAAGAATGAGTACAAAAGAGGCATCACATGAAAAATGGGGAATAGGTTTAGGAGACAGTTTTCGCAAGCGAGTCAAGGTTATCAGCGGGTACTTACTGGTCAATCTATTTTATTTTATTTTATTTCCAGATAAGGATACTTCTGTGAGATTGTGGAGTTGGATTGGCAGATACAATAAAGTTTAGGTGTGAGGTTACCAACTGAGATTAGTTAAATAATGGATTGGCTTCCCCTAGCTGGCATGCATAAATTAAACTAAATAAAAGCATTGCTGCCATTTTGGTGTTTCAGAGTTAGCGTTTTATATACAAATACTTTCTAAGATACCTGATCCACAGTACCCACCTGTGGCCAACCATAATGAATAATTCTTCGAACATTTGACTTGTCAATCCCCATCCCAAAAGCACATGTTGCAACAACAACCTGCAAGGGAGGGGTTACATTAATTCCTAAATTTAAAGTATGCTTACATAACATAATGAGAAGCTGAAGTTCAAGTGCATTTTAGCAATACGAACAAATCAACAAACTTAATCGCAGTTCATTCAGGTTACACCTTCTTTACTTTTCCTAGAGAAGAACTCACTTCATTCTTTCTATGTAAGTGTAATATAGCCTACTGTAGTTTCATTTTAGATTCAATAAATAATTTCTTCACCAGTAAAAAAATGCTTATAAACTATAAATATATAACTAGAAGTTTACTATTTTAGATCCAATAAATATTTCTTCGCCATTTTTCATCAGGTAAAATTTCCCCCTGAAGTGTAAACCTCCTAACAGCTAGCACTATTGCACACCTAGCACTACAATTTGGTTTGACTAGATATGCCTTGTTCTATATGCTTTTCTATAAATTGATCAAAGACAAAAAGTGACCTCATAGAATGTGTGTAGGTAATACAATAACTGAGTAAGAAACCCCTCTTATCAGATTAATTTGTAAGGAAAATAACATTACAGAAAGATTATAATATCATTGAACGAATAAGCCGATACTCAGGCTGGATTCAAGGTTTTCTTAAAACATCATTTTATGTCTGCGAAATTATTACACAACATTATCATTCTATGGGCATGTTGGGCAACTTTGGCTTATAATCCACAAATGGCTTATAAATCAAGTGGATACTAATCCAAAGTATTTGGTACATATGGTGGATTATAATTCATTTCCAATGGTAGAGTGTTTGGCAAATGGGTGGATTATAATTCATCCTTGTTTGTCAAAATGACCAAAAAGAGGTTTAAGATAGAGAAAGAGGCCTTTGGAATTTTCTTAAATGCCAAGGGGTAAAGAGGTCTTTTACTTGGTCAAACTATGTCGCTTATAAGCCACTAAAAAATAAGCTGGTTACCCCTGCTTATTTATTTTTGGCTTATAAGCCAAAATAGGCTGTTTGCCGAACATGTCTCAGTTGTAAGCCACTTTGACCTGTTGCCAAACATACTCTATGTTCAAGAAGTCCTCACCCCTCATACTTTACATACAATAATGTCAATAGAAAGGTCTCATCGAAAGGAGAAGCCCCTCTTAAGTAAATGAGAACAAGCAATGTTAGCTTCTTTCCCCCCTGCAAACATTAGGTTCCTTATGTTGACAAACAATTCTACTTAAAAGCTAGTGTTATCAAAGGGGAAAACACAAAATTGGCCAAACGAAACCTCAGTCTGGAAAGGAATATAAAATTTAGGATGCATAACAAAGACTCAAAACAGGAACTCACTTCCAAAATTCCTTCAATCCTATATATTGGAGATTCACATGAAGTCCCAACTAAATACAAAACCTATAGATTTTTAGGGCAAACAAAGCATTATGGTCTCCAAAAACAACACCACCACTTATTAATGCCACAAAACTCCTTTTATTACAATTTCATAGAAAAATTTAGGAAATAATTTCCTTAATTGCAAACAACAAATGCCGTATAGCATAGTCTAACAGAGAACACCCTTCACTTCATCCACTCACTAGAAAAAAAATATTATAATTATAATCTAAATAATATTTATTAGTATGCTTCAAGGAAAACAATCTTTATTTCCTTCAATTTCAGGTTAATTTAAAACCCATTTCAGACATAATTTAAAACCTCTTTCAAACAAAAAATGAATAATTTATCAAAAGCACATTTATATATTTTAATAAATTTTCACGTTAACCTCTGCGCCACCTGTGCAATAAATTTGGCTCTAGTAGACAAGACAACAAAAGCACATGCACATGAACAAGCAGAACAATGACTCTATTTCCGAGGAGGAAAATTTTATAATCAACTGAAGGATGGCAGAGAATCATAAGGCCCGTCTCCAAAATACAATCATAGTAATAGCATATCATAGCACAAAGTGCAGAGCTCCAGGGTCTACACCTATTAGCTTTTGCAATCTAATGAAGAGATTGTAAAGCTCATGGATCATGGAGCTAGCTCATGCACAAAATAATAGTTGAGTTTGTGATTTAAAGTATATGTCACATAGTACCATTGAAACACGGAGAAATAAGAAACATACGATTCTTATATAAATTATTTTTCCAACAAAATGTTTGGTAACAAATTACAATACATTACCAAGATGAGCAAGCTACCATATTTATTTAATAAATAATACTGTGAGAATATCATATTTAAAGTAGAAACAAAAAGTTAACTTTTGCAGTCAGTTGTGTATTCTAAACAGGCTATCATGCACAAACCAATATCTTAGTACAACTATAGATTATTTTGAATATTGTATCAACTAAAAGCCGTAAAGTTTTATGTTCTAAGCTAAGACACAAGTGTAGAATATCCGGGTAAACCCAAACAGTTACGTTCAAATTTTCAATGTTAAAAATTCCACTTGAACGCAGTCTAGATTACCTGCAATGAGTTTTGAAGGAACTCCTGATGAACCTGCCTCAGATGTGCTTTTGGCAGCTGCAGATTTACATATGTCAATTTCATATAAGACTATAGAGCATTCTGCATTTTATGATGCTGGGAATAAATACTCACAAAGAAGGTTGCATTTGAACAAAACTCACTCAACATGCCATAATATGATATGAAATAAGCAACTTCAATCATTTAGAAATGAACGATACTGCACATAGAATAAAATGATACAAGAATTCCCTATCATATAGTGAACACAAATTGCTCATGTTATCAAATAGGACAAAGTTTCAAAATAGACCCTATTAGAAATTTATTTTTAAAAAACAACCCTTTTGAAATTTAATTGCCATTTCAACCCAATTTCAACTACGTGGCTGACACTGGATCGAAAATGACAATTAAAATTCGAAAACTTCACGGGATTTAAAATCCTGTGAAGTTTAGTGTCTGATTAGCGACGCTAATAAAAAAGCTACCCAGACTTCAGGGAATTGAAATCACGTGAAGCTTGAGCGCAACTTCATAGGATTTTAACTCCTGTTAAGTGGCAGGGAGCAACTAACAGAGAGCTCGAAGTGAGCTCTCTGCCAAATAAGCCTGCAACTTCACGAGATTTCAAATCCCATGAAGTCTGCGTAGGCCCCACTCACAGACTTCGTTATCTCACTCCCGTCTCACATGAACTCATTTCCCGCTCTCCCTCCCGTTCTCTCTCTTTGCTCATTTATACCAAACCCTAGATCCTCTCCCGCCACTGTCGCCGACACTAGCTGTCTTCGCTCCCGTCGTCGCTGTCGTTGACCTTTTTCAAGCTGAAAAGCATCGGAGTTTGCCAGATTTCAAATTTAGGGCATCGACAATTTTTTGGTAAAATCCTTTTTCCCCCCCTAAATTTCTACATATTCTCACTATTTCATCATAATAACTTGTTTAAGTTTAGATTTTGGAATAATTTTTGAAATATTTATGAATTTTGTGAAGAAAAATTAAAGAAATTTGTATATGAAGTTAGGGGAAATTAGGGAATAAAAATTAGTGTATTATTTTTCAATTTTTAAAAGTGAATATTGTTTAAATTATTTAAATTAGGCAATCACAAAAATATAAATGTTTTGACCTATGGTAAAAATCATGGATGTGTAAAATTGATATTAGGGGATTTAATTATAAATAATATTTTTTGTGTTTTTTGTGTAATATTGATATTGGAATTTTTTACTCTTCAGAGGTAACATTGAACGATCGAATCGTAATTCTTTGTTCGTATGATGGCAAGATTAACTATCTCGAGAATAATATGTTTGTATATGAATGAGGTGTGACGAAACCATTGTTTATATCCAAATCATGTACTTTTGAAGGATTGGTTAATGACTTACACAAACTTACATTAACCAATCCACATGAGTATCACCTCAACATGATTTGCAATTATCCTGTTACGAGGAACAGAATAAGCGGCATTTAAATCTCAAGTGACTACAATATGGGTCTCATTGGAATATTGAATGACGAGAAGCATTCGGTAAAATTATTTATTGAAAAGCATCACAGAAATTTGGGCAAAGTGGTGAATCACGACGGAGTATACTCTTGCATGTTGGAGGACCTTAAAGTTGACTCCACCAGTTTTTTGTCTTCGCAATAGGATATGGGATGGACGTAGTCACAGTACTTGAGCGGTCCTTCAAACTTGTGGGACTTCAAGTGCCTTTGACCATTATTTGATGATAACACTCCACATCAAGATATAAGGCCTTCAACAGGAGTGACGATAGAAGATGATAATGAAAGTGTCGGATCCGAGGATGATAACAAAGAGGATAGCTTACAGATTAATAGCATGACATGTTTGATAGGTCATGACGAAAGGGACAACTAATTAATTGCCCGATGTTATTCTAACAATGAGTATGTCGTATTAGAGGATCCTTCTCCCGATGAATTTCATGGAGATGGATGGATTGATGACTCCACAACAGAAAATATTCCCATTTGCACTAATTTAAATGATGATACACAAGGCAATGACTATTCATTCAGAAAGGGTGATCTATCTGAAAGCAATGAAAAATTGATTCATGAGCTTCGTTTGTGGGCCATCAAAAAATTATTAAGTTTAGACAGACAAAAAACAATACAACAAGCTATAATGTAGTTTGTTTTTACCACTAAGATGGTGATGAAGAAGATATTGGTGATCACCATGATGGAAATACAAAGTGTATTTGAAAGCTTAATTCACGTTTGGCGGTAAGAGTAGGCAGACAATTTAAAATAACACACTACAACGAACTTCACACACGTAGCAATCCTCGATTAGAGATGAGTCATAAACACGCGTCCGCCTCTTACATATATCGATTGATTGGAAGGATCTTGATCTAAGACCAAAGGATATTCATATTTTAGTGCATAAAGTGACCAACTTGGATGTATCATACAACAAGTGTTGGAATGCTCGGAGGAAGGCGATGATAAAAAACTGGAGATTAAGATTAATCTTATGAGATTTTACCACATTATCTTGAAGCACTCAAAAAAGAAAAGTCAAGAACAGTGTACGAAGTGTCATCGGATCTCGTTGACGACGGAGATAGACGATTCACGGGGGTATTTTGGGCATTTGGGCCTTGCATTAAGGGATTCAAATATTGTCGTCTTATTCTTAGCAAAGTCGGCTATTGTGGCTTCATTCGACATTTATGAGAGATATACCGGTTGACGCCACGGATGAAACGATTTAGTATTATGCTTGTGCTTACATATTGCACATGATAGTGTGTATGTTATTTTCTGATGGGAACAAGAATCTTGTACATGCACGATGGCTGACACCACTTGAGGATTTTGAGGTGCGGCACTCTATCATGGGGTAGTACGATCTTGGTAAACCTTAATAGAGAACTAGGCAAGGTCTCCTTAATGCAGAATAAAGAATTCAAGGGGTGCATGATATTATTAAAAGTTCGGTCGTGAGAACGCATTCATATTGGACAACCTACTTTGCAGATGCACCGCGATCTACAGGGTCAGTTTCCTTTGTGATGCAGGTATATTATGCATAATTTAAAATTATTTATATCGTCTAATTTTATTCATATTTAATTTGTTCCCATATATTCAATGACAAATAGGCATAATGTGAGGCACTCAAAATACAAAACCACGACCATACATATAGAGTTTTACGGAAATGAGTTTGATGCCTCCAACACCAATAAATATATATAAAACTCAATTCATTATTTATATTTTAATTTTTCTGTAGATGCTAATACAAGTTTTTTTTAAATTTCAGTTCAAGTGGACGCACTGTTTTAAAAAACCTCCGTCTAGTCCGCTTAGGCGTACGCCTAGACCTAGACGGTATCTAAACCGCCTAACTAGCGCCTAGCGCCTACCGCCTAGGCGGTATTTAGACTGGCCATCTAGATTTTACGAACATTTAGGGGAGCATTGTCTGCTTACGTGGATTGTACCCTGTAGGTCTTAATTGTGATTTTATGTATCATAGCCTACACGTCCTCCAAACTCCATTAACCTCCAAATATGAACATCTTCACTACCTCCTCCGACCTTCAGCAAAACCTCATCAATCGCCACTTAAATGAAGAAAGAAAAAAACGCTCAGAAACCGCTTAGGCGCCCGCCTAGACGACTAAGCGCTGGGCGCCAAGTCCGACGCCTAGAAGCGCCCAGCGTTTAATGTAACATTGGTGGACGCCATATTCTCCTCCAGATCTCGATATGTATAACTTTGCACCTATTTATAGAGATAGCGCTGCTTTGTGGAGAGCCAGAGTCACATTGATATGTTCGGAGCTTGTAGATTGTGCTACAACAATTTTTTCTTTCTCAGCATGTGCCAGATCCTGTTGAGAAAATCGATCACAAGCGACGAATGACATCACACTATACGGACTGGGCCATATTCCGTGCGGCATACATAGAGAGGTGGGGTAATAAGTAGAATTTCATACAGAATGAGAGAAATCCAGTAGATGGTTATACCGCATATATGCGTTGGTATTAGAATATCACACGCAGATGGATAGGACACGACCCACAACCAGCAGCTGAATGCGTACCATGATCGAGAGGGATTATGTAAGTTTTTAAACTAAATTAAAACGGCAATTCTTTTTTTGTGATAAAATTATTTGCTAAGATGTATATATATTGATTAAATTATAGATCCATACTTTTGATGAGATTGAGACTCATATAAATGAACATATTAATGAGATTCAAGATCAAATAGTGTCAGGGATCTTCAATAGGATCAGACAGAGAATAGCAAATATGTTCCATAAAAATCATGTCGACGAATTTGAAGGACGTTAGGACAGGTCACGTCGATTTGGTAAAGTGTACGCCAAAGACATAAGGCAGGTTAAAGGGCGGCGCGTGATGATGGAGCCGGCACTATTCAGCCTCATACACAACCAGATACTCAGATCATTGAGGCTCATCAGCACAAGGTTTTAAATATCGGTTATTAAAAATTTATTAGACGGTCAAAATTCATATCAGATAGCGGATATCGGAGATATATCAAAGATAAGTAGTATTTATCGGAGTGATATTACCGGATGGTGATATACATGATATAATTGTAGTCTAACTAATAAAATATAAACATACCAAAATATAAATAATTATGTTTAGGATCACTAACCAATGGTAGAAACTCGGGTCGGGTCGGGTTTAAAGTGCATTGAATAGGTGCTCGTTGTCCGAAATCAAAACTCAACTCAATGACTAATAATTTTGATTTTTGGGCCGACAAAATACTCACATTATTGCCGCATTATCGGCGATAAACATTCAAAAACGATAACAGATTTAAAATCAAACTTATCATAGCGAAAGGCCCCCAAAAACAATAAATTGTCTATAATACCGGCTTATCGGCCGATATTTAAAACATTACATCAGCATGGACAGCGAGAGCGGGGACGGGGGGAAGAGTGAGGGGAAGAGGTAAGAGAAGGAGAGGAAGGGAGGACTTTTAGGATGTATGTAAAAGTTACAGTGTGATTATGAATTTCAAGAATATATATGGTTAGATTGTTCAAATTTGTTGCTTGTGTGGATCGATTTTTGTTTATATATGTGATTTTCATGTGTATTGTTTTAATTTATAGTTGAACTTTATATGTATTGTTGTAATTCAGTATATATGCAGCAAATTTGATGTTTATGGTTGAATTTTTATGTATATTGTTGTGAATGAGGCGAAAATTTCATAATATACAAGAGCTTTTGGATTAGGTGGAACATGCGCTTGGATTAAGTGGAACATGCGCTTATGCATGACCTGCAACTTCACGAGATTAAGATCCCGTGAAGTTGCAGGCTCATTTGGCAGAGAGATCACTTCGAGCTCTCTGTTAGTTGCTCCCTGCAACTTCACAGAAGTTGAAATCCTGTAAAGTTGCCCCGAGTTTCACATGATTGCAACTCCCGTGAAGTTAGGGTGGTTTTCTCATTAGCATCGCTAATCAGACACTAAACTTCACGGGATTTTAAATTCCATAAAGTTTTCGAACTTTAATTGTCATTTTCGACCCAGTTTCAGCCAGGTGGCTGAAACTGGGTCGAAAATGACAATTAAATTTCAAAGGGGTTGTTTTTTAAAAATAAATTCCTAATATGGTCTATTTTGAAAATTTGTCCCATCAAATATGACCAAAAGACCGAGAAAACTGTGCCATCATAAACTTCTGCACATGGCCAACAAGTAGGTGTCATAGGTGATATAAGACCACCCACTTTATATAAACATTAGCAATAAAGTGTAAACACATTTGTCGGATAGCTATTTAGATTATACGGTAATAGGCTCCTTAAGTAGTAAGAACCAAATCCTGTATTTAGATTCTCAATCCTATATCCAAAAATAATGTTTTATCTTTTCAAAGAAAGTTGAGAGCCTTTACCAAATTGTGGTCAACATAAAGCTGCTCCTGAAAACTATTATATAGACGAAAGAAACCCTGTGAAGGATATCAGAAACTAATAGGATGAAAATACATGGGAATATTGTTAGCTGCAGTTTAAAACCAACAATGACGAGGCTTTACAAAGTCATGACCCCAAACCTTGTCATTCCTTTCACTTAACCACCATTCTAATTTGTCCAGAAAGTCCACTAAAAACTTCTGTGGAGAAAATGATGCACGGTAATTATTATATTTAAACAGTGAAGTCAGACTGCATGCTAATAGACTGAATTCAAGGTTGGTCATGAGTAGAATTTGGAGAGCTTTTATGAAATTGGTTCTCCCCTTTCCTCAACTATTTGCCATTTAAAGGCTCTCTTTTGTATCAAAGCAAATAGTCAATGAATATTACATCAGTCTGTAGGTGGAGGCATGATATAGAAAATACTGGCTTGCAGTCAAATGACGTCTGAAGCCAACTTGCCCTCACGATGCCCCCAGACTGTTTAACAGAAAAAGATATTTCCCCCCTATAGCTTGTATACAAGATAGTCGAAGGCTGAAGGCTGAAGGGTTACGTGCTGTGATATAGATTGTTAGCAAAGATAAAGATTGTTGGAGGCTGAAAGGTTATAAGATGTTACATCAGAACCTTTAATATCCTAGAAGTAACGGTTAACGCATTTCTCATTGTGGAGAACAAGGATGTAATATAGGAGGAACAGGAGGAAATTAGATAACTGCCTTGCTTCTGGTAGCAGATGCATGCAGACAATTTCAAATGACTAGTATGACACAAAGAAGAAACAAGCACAGACCTTTGAATGATATGCTGCAGCGCTAACTCCAGCTCTGGACAGATATTCAGCTATTTTTGTTGTTTCTTTTCTAGTAGGAACATAAACAATCGTGGGGTCTTGGTGCAAAGTCTCTTGCGGATCAGACATATCAGACGCCTCATGAATCACTGAACTCTCAAGTAGAAGATTTCCAAGGAATTCACCACAAGAAACTGATAAAATTGTAAATAGATATAGTTAAATGAATAAAAATAAAAAAATAAAATATAAATGCTGAACAAAAATTCAAGACGATGTGTTTAGTAGTTTACTAAGAAAATTAACAGCTAAAATAAAAAAGGAATTGCATCATACATTTGCACTCAATGTTTTTTGCAAGTATCCAGTCAAACTTATACAGTGAGTCTTACATTAGTGATATAGGGGAAGGGTTGAATTAGAGGAAGTTCCAGGTCCAAGTCCAGATTATTGCCCATCTTCTAAAAACAAAACCCCTTAGCATCCTTAATATATATTATTTATAGTCATTCTGACATGCTAGAATTTGTGCTATGAATCATAGGGCAACACTTACTGTTGTTATATGCAAATCGTTCTTACATCCAAAAGAGTAGGAAGCATGTACATAGTCAAATACCATAGCTAAATTTTTTATCTTTGATGTTTTTATATATATAACTGGTGTTGATGATAATGATGTTGATGGTAATGGTGTGTTACTTTCAACTTGCCCCAGAAAAGTATACACTGATTTTGCATCGTTAAAAATTGTTAGCGAGATTAAAATACCATTTGCTAGTGGCATTTTTTTCCTTAAAAAGTATACAAGAATGAGAAGCAAGCAACTAAAACGTGGACCCCAACAAAAACAAAAACAAAAAAAAAAGACATCAAGACTTTTTCCTCCCTAAGAAAGCAGCTTATTAAGATATATTTTTCCAATCGATCTTACCCTCCTTACCCACTCTTTTTTTCTTAAATTAGGAAGGATAAGATATGTGGTCTGGTCTTACTTCACTCTTGTTATTGCTGTATGTAATCTTTTCAAAACAATACTCAGTAGATGGTAATATAAACTACAGTTGTCAAGGTAATACTTTCAATAGGTTTGACTCCATTAACGCATACATCATCACAAATTGATTGTCAGTACATATAAGTCCTGAATAAGGACTCAAAGAGAAACCAGAACTGCGCCTAATTATACAAAACTGTTCTTAAACCATTCAGGAAAAAGTTAACAGAAGAATATACCTTAAATATTGAGAACAGTGTTGGAAAAAAAATGCTACATAAATTGTTAATTCGCATTATTTTGCAACATAAATAAAAAATTGAGAACAATGTTGGAAAAAATTCTATAAATTGTTAATTCGCATTGTTTTGCAACGTAAGCCTTAAACATTATGTAGCATTTGATATAACTCAAACACATCGCAACACTACATTTTTACAATATAGAGAGATTGAGACTTTGCTCTCGGCTCAAAAACAAAAAGATGACAGAAAAAAGAAAAGAAAAAATTTCATGATTTTTTTGAAGCATCACGGGCAACATGGATTGTAAAGTTTATTAAGTCCAGATCTCAGGATTTAACATTGTCAGAACAGATTGCGCTAGTGAACCATCAACTAGAAAATATAGATACATTAATATACGAACTGATTACACACATATGCCAGGCTTTAAAAATCGGCTGATATTATTGGAAAATCGGTGATATATCAGAAATTCACTATGGCCGATATAATTTCTGACAAAAAATCAAAAATAGTTCTGTTTTGGCCGATTTTTGCCAATAAATCACTCAAAATCTGATTTTTCAAGTGCCTGATTGTAGGGGTTCTTAAAATCAGCTGATTTTCTAAAAAAATCTAACTTACCTATTGGTTCAGGTTTGCAAAACCCTCATTATCTTAACCCGCAACCGCAACCGCAACCAACAAAACAAAAGGGAAAAAACCTGCCCTAATTTCTCTCATTCTTCCCTGTCGCCTTGATATTCTCTATCGCCTCGTTTGGTACGTGGGAATGGACAGACTTGGGAATGGAATGGAAGAAGGAATGGAATGGATTGCATGTGGGAATGGAATGGTCATTCTCATTCTCTTGTTTGGGTGCGTTCGTAGAATGAAGCTAGAATGGAAATCTCATTCCCATTCCCATGTTTGGTATCACTAGTACACAAGTGAGAATGAAATCTCATTTTCTAATAATGCCCTTACAACAACATAGATTTTTAATAAGATAAAAAATAAACATTAATGATAATAACTAAATAATTTTATATACGCATATGTTATATTAATCTAGGTATGTGTTATACTAATGCTCGTGTTATCCATCAGGTGTATGTTTCGTTTATATTTTTTAAACAATACTCGCTATTTCTTAGTCTTAAAAATTAAAGAAAAATAAAAAAAAAGATTATCGTATCTTTCATAGGTCCAAAAAAAAGAATGATATCCACAATCCACAGTTCTAGATATATAAATTAACTTATTTGATAAAGTATCAAAATCACTCAATTCATAATAGCAAAAATCCATAAAACAATACCAACTAAAATAATAAGTTTCGAAATAGAAAAATGATATACTAGCCTAAATTGTCAATCTAAAATTGCCCACTTGCATAGCGCCTCACCCAAACATTCTTTATTATTAATATGGATATAATTAAAAAATACCTAACTAGTTTTTGATTCTCACTTGAATGGGAATGACCATTCCTTATCTTCTCACTTGGAATGCTCATTCCCACAAATAGTGGGAATGATCATTCCTAGGGAATGGTCATTCCAACATCTAAAATATAGGTGTGTTTGGTATGAGGGAATGAGAAGTGGGAATTGCATTCCATTCCTCCTCATTCCCGCGTACCAAACGAGGCGTCACTCTCTTTCTCGAAGAGCCCCCGCTCCCCTCTCTCACAGAACATCTCAGACTCGAAGCTCCTCAAAGACCTCAAAGCTCCCTCAAACTCCCCCGAACTCCCTCAAAGCTCAACGACCGTTGAAGATCCTCAAAGACTCTCAAGTCTCGAATTTCAACGACCCACCAGGGAGCAAGGTACTAACCTTTTTTATTTTATTTGTTAACTCTTTTCTAAAATTTACGAGTATGATCTAGTTTGAAGGTGATTTATTTAATTTGAATTTGGTTTCTGTGATGTTTTGTTGATTAAGCCTAGGATACAAGAACCTGTAATTTAACACTCCAATATGACACTCTAATTTTTATTACTTATCCCCGATAACCAGGATCCAATATGAATTTTGGCCGTCCGATATATTTCTGATGTCTGATATTTAAAACTTTGCACATATGTATGTGTGTGTGTGTGTGTGTGTGTGTGTATATATATATATATATATATATATATATATATATTAATGAATTT